ATTATTAACATTCAATGGTGGAATCGGTTCAGTTTTATTGTTAAAATTAGTTATGGATTTAGCAATGTTCCACCATTTATTAGGGGGCAATGATTTATCACCTAGAGACTTTTGAAGTTTATCAAGATAATTATGTTTTGTGTCTCTTACCTGATTAATAACAGCATTCCTTATTTGTTTATATTTAGTCCAATGCTCTATTTTGTCAGTATGTCTGGCTTTCTTATGTATCCTATTTCTTTGCCTCATCTTTAGCCTAATATTGGTATTCATCCATGGCTTGTCATAAGGTCGGATTGTAATAGTTTTACTAGGAACATATTTTGTCATCAGGTCAGTTATAGATTTAGTTAAAAACATACTAAATTCATGGTTATCCATATCAGCAGCAATTAAGTTCCAGTCAATAACATTTAGTTCGTCATTCATAATATTATAGTCAGTATTGTTATACATCCATACAGTCTTTGTATATGCTTTATGTTTGAAGATAGCAAAACAAACTTCCATATATATAGGGGAGTGGTCACTACAGAAAGCAGGGTCAACATGAGTATTTTTCACTATGGAAGGATTATTTGTAAAGACAACATCTATAGAGGTTGCACTATCAGGTGTCACTCTAGTAGGTTTATTAATAATACTTCTAAGGTTGAATTTAGTTAAGAGTCTAGATAAGTGAGAAGTGGGTGGGGTTCTTAGCATATCAACATCTAAGTCACCAGTAATTAGTATATCAATGGAAGTTTCACTAACTTTATCAAGGATTTGTTCAAATTTACTCCAGTATTCTACATTAGAATCAGGTCTATATATACATCCAAGCAGAAATTTATGATTTTGAATTAAAACTTCTATCCAAATCATTTCTATATGTTCTTTTTCAAGATCCTGTCTACGTTTAGTAAGAATATTGTTTTTATGATAGATAATAACACCACCACCATGCCCTGTTGTCCTATCTTTCCTATGGATTTCATCTGAGAATGACTCTAATTTAATATCAGAATTTGGGATTAGAAGGTTAAGGTGTGATTCAGTTATACATACTATGTCACTAGCATGTAGTTGTGCTTCAATAACATCTATTTTATTTCTTATGGATCTAACATTAAGATGAACTATTTCTCCATTCTGGAGTGGACCTGGATTCAGTTCAACATCCATACATTTAATCAGCAGTGTTTGCAGAACTATTTGTAGATATGAGTTATTGTTGAATATTTTAGAATAAATGTATATAAATTGAATAGAAATACTGCATGGCCATTTAAGTCATATGCCCTCCTAAGATGGATGTCCTATTCACAACATATATACACATATATACACTTCTTAGGACCCATATTGACTTTGGTAGTTTTGGTATTGACGAAATGCGTTCTGATGAGTGGACCAGCTTCCTTGTGCCATCAAATAGCCTATCAACTTCAAATGTGAAATCTGCAAGACATTTGATGGGATTTGCACGGGCAGTGTTGGCCGCGGGTGCCAAGAGCTTGAATCTGTCCCACTGTTGACGAGAAATTGAATCGGTAATTTCGTTCAATGATCAAAATGTTAGCTTTCAATCAAGTTAAAAATATTCTACGAACCAATACCATAACCTGAAGATCATTAGCCGATTGCTTGTTATAGATGGCTACAAAAGCTTGGTTATCAATGTGAAACAGAACTCTTTTTTTTCTCTAACTCTCTACCCGAGATTGTCAGAGATGTTGCTACTGGTAATAATTCCGGAAACGGTATGTTTCTAAGGATTGGAGTCCTTACCCATTATTCGGGCCAAGGGCCAAACGCTCATATCTTTCGAAAATTACTGCAAAACCTTTGTCAGCCCTCAGCACTGTCAGTAAATAGCTCTAACGTCTCGTTTGTTGTCGAACACAACATTATTGTTTCACCGTCATAGTTTAGCCATGATTGTAAATCCCTTTTTGTTCTTGTCTTGTGTTATGTTTTTTTATTTGATACTCTTCATTGCGTCAATCGATCCCCCTACAAAAGGTACGCCCAGTCGGTTCGCCCGGACAGTCAAAATGACAGGAGATTCTCCAATATAGTTTTGTATGTAGCTAACCTGAGAAGGAGTTTCCCAACTAATCTTTTGGTTATCTAAGTGCTATATTCATGGAGTCATATTTGACTCAGAGAAAAGGTAGCACCGTACATTGGCCAATAGTTTTATTAGCGACAAGAAGTACCCCCAATGATGTGCATATTTTTTGGAGGACAACATTGATTCTTTACACTGTATATGGTCTCTGCTCTCCCCAAAAATAGGAAACGGATTTATATAAGTTATTTCAACTTGTTTCCGGATCCCATTCCTCTGTACTTTGTATGTCATGCAACTTAATGTGGAATGAAATAAAGTTTATATTAAACAAACAATATAACAAAAACGCTGACGACTGCTCATCATTCTATTTCATTACCCACTCCAGAAAAGTAGGGAATGTATTTAATAGTTTCAAAGCAGATAAACCGATCTAAATGAAAATACCATTGGCCTAAATCCATAGGCGAGAACGGTAGGGGCCTAAAGGCTGACGTAATGTCCATCTTCCAAAGAAAAGAACCCTGGTCCAATTTCTGAACCAACTCCAACACATCATCAACAAAAAAGTATTTTTCAGAGCAGACGACCGCATTAATAAAGTCGTTAACTGATGCGCCGTGGGGAAATGTGACGAATGGCCCTAAGAGCACCTTCCTTTCTTGGAACCAAACCAAAGGAGGAAATACAAAGAGTCGGTAAGGGGATTTGGTGAGGAGTAATCGAAAGGGACCCGCATTTCTACCGACTGACAGTTCCTCGTGATTTCTTTCCAGGATAATTTCTAGGTCACTGTTTACACTTTTCAGTATTTTGCAAAGGTTGGTAGGCCGGGGCACTTTTCCGGTGTGGAAAACCTGAGGTAAAACCCGATAGTTTCGTAGACATTGGGATATAGTTCTGGCAATGTTCATCATAGAATACCATCCCATATCATTGTTATTTATTTCCCTTTCTATTACACTGGGTTTGTGTGTGTTGACCTCCGTAAGAGGCACATGCATGGCTGAATCTACACTTGGCATCAAAGACACAGTGTCCCTTATAAAACATCCAACATGTTGGTGAGTGGGGACATAGGGTACAAAACTTACCATTATGTTTTTTTCCACACCATCTAAGTGTTTTGCGGGATTGTGAGAAAATCATTGTTAGGCGGATAACAGATGGAACAGACACGATGCTGAGGAAGGAACAGCCTGGATTTAGAAAGGGAAGAGGATGTACTGACCAATGTTTTGCACTCGATGATTCTGAATATTGAGCTTTATATCAAACCCATCTAATTGCCTGAACTAACTCTAATATATCAAATACGATTCATCAGTTTGGAAACAAGTGTGTATCAAGTTTTTGCTTTTAACACAAACAATGTATGTATCAAATGTGATGTAACGTTTCAAGAAAGACCGGTTCCTTTGTCAAATGACTTACTCAGTCATAGCTTGACAAATTCACCAGTTGGTCTTGAAATGTTACGACATGTTTGATACGCCTATTGTTTGTGTAAAACGTTGATACATAATTGGTTGATCGTTGACTAACGTGCAAATCTTTCCATTATCAGATGGAAGAAGTGACTCAGTACTTTTAACACTTTGATAAAAAAAAAGGGGGGGTAGGGGACAGTGGTAAAGGACTTTTGAAAAATGGGCATATCAAGTGAATCGTCAAAGAAAATTTGTGTGAGGGATATTTGATGTAAAACGAGTTTTCTGTTACATAAACAAAATATCGAAGATTTGGAACAGGTATTACGGAACATCAGAAAGACGTTGAAGCTTAAGCGCTATAAGTTTCCACTAAAAATACAAAGAAGACATCGGAAAAATAATACAACTAATCAGTCATTTCAAACCATGCTTACATATATAAATAGCTATATCATGGATTAGATAACTACAAATTGCTTGAAAAAGAGGATAACTGGAAATTGAGGAAAATCAAAAATTCCGACTGGATTAGGAGGGGGGGGGGGGGGGGGGGGGGGGGGGGGGGGGGGGACGGGGAATATATGAGCAGAGAGAAGGGAAACCAACTGAGACATCTGTATGACCTCATGTAATATTCACTAGGGACGGAATGGGTATACAAACTACTCGTCTCTCTGACTGCCTGTGTTAATAGATATTCGTGTTCAAACGAAACTTTGCACATGTATCAATATATATCTTCAATCAGTGAATAATATAAGACTCTTTCATGCACAGGGGTGTAGGATAGGGAAATTCCAACCGAGGGGTTTTCAAATTTGGTAAAACCTGAGGCTCTGCCGAGGGTTTTGCCAAATTTGAAAATACCCACGGTGGAATTTCCCTTTCCTACACCCTTGGAAATGAAAGAGTATTTTTCTCTTATTCCGACTACCAGAATAAGCTCAGAACCATGAAAATGCGTTTGGACTGGTTACCATTTTGAAAATATCAATTTTTCCCCTTTTCGTGGTTTCTGAGCTTATTCCTTCGGACCAGGTGAGCTAATAAAAACCAGAAAACATAGGTATGTTATACAAGTTCATATTTTAATATACGACTGACAGTCATTATTTCATATGTAAAATTGATGAAATCATGAATATTTTATTTACATAAAATATCTGTTTTATGTTCATATGAAAATATATTCATATTGAGAATTATTAATAATTATTAATTATTAACAATTTTAATTATCCTTCAAAAACTTTTAAACAAATAAAAGGTTTTTGGTTTGAGAAAATATAAATACACAGAGTTAGATATCAGCAGGATACATTAAGAACTTTTTTCGATAGAAGACTTCTTGCTTTGCAAAGCTAACACTCCTTTATCACAGATAATTTGACGCGATGCTATAAAATTCGTTCAGAGTATGTGTGGTATGTTGTTATTCTCTTGTTTTGTAGCACAGGGTATAAAATCGTATTTCTGACTTCCCAAGTGTCCCATTTCACATTGTGTACAAACAGACATCAGTACATATCCACTGGTTTTCACGATTCGCTAATAATTGGTGCTGTTTTCATGGCTTCCATGTGATGACCTTGACAGCAATAGTGGCTGCCTTGACAACCGCTGGTATAGGGTCCAACATACAAGCTTTGATCTGTAAAAACCAGACAAAATATAATATAGATATTGGCATCATTCTGCAGCAAAACAGACAATGAATATAAACAATGATTTATCAAAAGAAACCTTAAACAATTAAATTAACAGGCCCATGAAAATGACTTGATTCTTTACAGGCCAATGAAAATGACTTGATTCTTAACAGGTCCATAAAAATGACTTGACAAGATACCACTATTGTATATATATGTAAAAGGGAGATGTTGGTTCTGGTAGTCATAGGTTTAGATAGTAGATACATTTTTTTCATAATTTTATTATTATAGGTGAGTTACAAATAATATTCTTTGTGATGCAACTTCTCAGTCAAAATTTTCCTTATTTCTGATGATTTTTATAAGTTACAATTCATTTTAGAAAAGTGCATGGTGCTATTCAAATCTGACTGACCTTGTCAACATGGCTTAGTAAAACCTTCCTTCCCTCTGGAGCCTCAGACAAACAGGTAAGAGCCTGCGAACACAAACAAACATGTTTATAGTACAACAATGTCGAAGACATATGGTATATATACACGCAATACTTAATACGTAAGACAGGAATACACAGAAGTTGTGTACATCAGGATATTACTTGTACACTCCCAATTGGTCAGTATAATTTGAGTGGGTAGTATAATTTGGGTGGGTAGTATAATTTGTATAATTTGGGTGGGTAGTATAATTTGGGTGGGTAGTATAATTTTGGTGGATAGTATAATAGGGGCGGGTAGTATAATGGAGGTAGGTAGTATAATTGGGGTGGGTAAAATATAATTTGGGTGGGTAGTATAATTTGAGTGGGTAGTATAATTTGGGTGGGTAGTATAATTTGAGTGGGTAGTATAATTGGGGTGGGTAGTATAATTTGGGTTGGTAGTATAATTTTGGTGGATAGTATAATAGGGGCGGGTAGTATAATGGAGGTAGGTAGTATAATTGGGGTGGGTAAAATATAATTTGGGTGGGTAGTATAATTTGAGTGGGAAGTATAATTGGGGATGGGTAGTATAATTGGGGTGGGTAGTATAATGGAGGTAGGTAGTATAATTGGGGGTGGGTAGTATAATTTGGGTGGGTAGTATAATTTGGGTGGGTAGTATAATTAAGTTGGGTAGTATAATTTGGGTGGGTAGTGTAATTTGGGTGGGTAGTATAATTTGGGTGGTTAGTATAATTGGGGTGAGTAGTATAATTTGAGTAGGAAGTATAATTTGAGTGGGAAGTATAATTGTGATGGGTAGTATAATTGGGGTGGGTAGTATAATTTGGGTGGGTAGTGTAATTTGGGTGGGTAGTGTAATTTGGGTGGGTAGTATAATTGGTGATGGGTAGTATAATTTGGGTGGGTAGTGTAATTTGGGTGGGTAGTATAATTTGGGTGGGTAGTATAATTGGGGTTGGTAGTATAATTGGGGTGGGTAGTATCATTGGGGTGGGAAGTATAATTTGGGTGGGTAGTATAATAAAGGTGGGTAGTATAATTGGGGTGGGTAGTATATTTTGAATGGGTAATAAAATTTGGGTGGGTAGTGTAATTTGGGTGGGTAGTATAATTGGGGATGGGTAGTATAATTGGGGATGGGTATTATAATTGGGGTGGGTAGTATAATTTGAGTGGGAAGTATAATTGGGATGGGTAGTATAATTGGGATGGGTAGTATAATTTGAGTGGGAAGTATAATTGTGATGGGTAATATAATTATAATTTTGGTGGGTAGTATAAGTGGGGAGGTAGATAAGGTGATACATGAAGACACATGATGTATATGGTTTCTAGAGACACCCTCCTCCTTTCAATTTCTCTTTTTTCCAAAATGGCTGTTTATTAATGTGCACAACTAGATTCTGCGATATCCTATATAAATGAGATTTAATGGTGGAACACATTTATATCTAATAAATGCAACTAATGTTAAATAATCTTTCATTTGCTTACATTTCATTGGCAACATTATACAGTTTATTGTCACTTTTTATTTTAACAAATTGATAAAATGATGGTATCAGATGAACCTCAGAGTCAGATTCATCAAATACCACATGTTCCTGAAACTTCTGATTTGGACCCCACAACATTGGAGAGTACAAGGTTTGGGAAAGAGAAGTGTACTCCTGGGTCCAGTACTTTTCCTTAAACAATTTAAGGTAAATTAAGGCATTGATAACATTTTCATTGACAAAGGAAATATTTTGTATGCCTGGAAATAGTGAAAAATGCTTACCTTCAAAGCATTGAGTCGCACCTCACTGGTATCATCATCTACCAGTTTTACTAGGGGTTCTATCGCCTTGGCGTCATTGATTGCAGTGTACTTCCCTTTTGTGGTTATAGTAATACTGAAAAGAAGAAGGAATTATCACTGACCACTGTGTTTCTACCACAGCAGTGAGATAATGAGGTATCATGTATTATATTACATGTACCTCTAGTGAAAATCCTGTATTCTGATTGGTCAAGACAAATTGTTCATTTCACACTGTCACATTCGCTTTAACATTGAGTCAATGGAACGGTGCTTCCCAACGCCCTAGCAATGGGTGACAGTGTGTGTGACAGTGCAAAATAATGACCGCGCATAGAAGAAGTGCATACAGTTCTTTTCAGCCACCATGTTTTTGCATTGCGTTTCATGGCGAAGGTCCACTTCGCCTCGGGTGAGAGTGATACCTCGGGGTCACCCTAGGCACTGTCACACTCTAATGAACGTAGTATTTATTTAATGAAACTTCCCTGAAATACAAAAAAAACTCACGTCATCAGGGCACCTGCAGCATTAGCCCTCACATCTGGTATTAGGTCAGATAAAAGCTTGACCAGAGCCTGGACAGTATTCACTTCCACCGCTTTGTTCTTCCCGTCCAATGGTACACTAACAATATATAAACAAACCTTTAGCAAATCTGAGCAGTTTATTGTATTCTGATGATAGTTTTATTAATTAAAAAAAATATTGCTTTTCAAAGAAAAAATAAATAAATAATGTAATTTTTAACAAATATCAATTCAACTTTTTTTTTAGCATGCACATATTTTTTACAAGGGAAAGAAGTTTATTTGGATCTAATGAGTTGCATCATTGCTACAGGTACATGTTATAATTATAAGTAGCCCGAGTTTCCTCTGGCCCTGACACCAGGCTTAGACATTTTGACAGATAGATGTCTGGTGTGGGACATTCATCTGCTAAAATGTCTAAGTCTGGTGTCAGGGCCAGAGGAAACACGGGCTAAATTATTAGGTACATGTATGACATGAACAAAACTTAATGTGCAGAACTTCTCTTTTGACATATGTAGCCACACTGAAGACATCAACCTTAACCCTTTCACCACTGTAGACCATAATGAACTCATCTAGATCAATGCATGGTAGAGTCTACTAAAGTTACAAAAGGGTGAAAGGGTTAACATTACTTTTTACGTTAGGATGTGTCAATACCTCAGATCCATGATGTCTCTAGCTGCTTTGGCTCGAATGACCGGTGAGTGGTGGTCAGCAAGTTTTGTGAAGGTTTCCATGGCGTTGGCCTTGAGAGCTTCATCTGTGTCCACCCTCATACAGTAGTGCAGTGTGTCCAGTATACACACCTGTGGAGATACAAATCACACCTTTACTAACACCATCATCTTTAGCACGGATTGGAGGGTTAACAAAGCAAACAAATTGTGAGAACATTTTTATTCATTTACCACAAACAGTTTACTTGCAATTATGCTTGTTTTTAAGCAGACAGGTCTTTGATACATGTTTTACTCTGGCTGATCATGAAAGTTGAAGTAGCGTTGCATATTGCATGTACGGTAAACCTCCGGTCAGTTCAAACAAAATTAAATAAAAACTGTTAATCCTGATCGTATTACACGAAATTATAGATGCTAAAATAAAGAGTATTTCGTACAATCCGTGTCAACATCTTCAAAAATCATGACAAACAGTCAAGTCGTTGATACGGGACAACGACAGCCTATTACGATATATTCACAAATCTGGCGATGAATAAAGTTACACACGTCTCTTATATTTCCTTGCATATTAATAATGGATTTTTTAGTTCAATCTTCACATAATCGTGAAGCAGGGACATGTTTATGTAAGCCACAAAGCAGTAGATGTTTTCTTGAGTATTGACATATCAGCATGCGGAGGTCTGATTGAAACTTAGTTACGGATTAATAGTTCGCCTGACCACCTGGTCAAATCTGTTTGATTTGGCACATACACAGGTAACATATCAATTAAGTAATGACAAATTGTTCATTTCCCACTGTCACATTCGCTTTAATGTTGAGTTAATGGAACGGTGCTTCCCAACGCCCTAGCAACGGGTGACAGTGTGTGTGACAGAGCAAAATAATGACCGCGCATAGAAGTGCATACAGTTCTTTTCAGCCACCATGTTTTTGCATTGCGTTTCATGGCGTAGGTCCACTTCGCCTCGGGTGACAGTGATACCTCGGGGTCACCCTAGGCACTGTCACACTCTAATGAATGTATTATTTATACAAGAGGCCCAGAGGGCCTGTATCGCTCACCTGGATACATTAGCAATCATGGCAAAATATGCCAGACCCAAAGGCAAATCCTTGTAGCATAACTGAATTAGATTTTGTCATGCCCAGCAATTTTATGTATGGTTATGGGGTAGGGATCTCAACTGTTTCCAAGCTTTGACTCAGAAACTAGGTCCCTAGGGTTGTGACCAGACCCCAGGATCAATTCTAATATCGTGACTGCATTTGTCTCTTTTTGCCCAGCATTTTTATATATAGTTTTGGGGTGGGGATCTCAACCATTTAAAAGTTATGACCCAGGGGTTAAGTCTGCAAAGGTGGGGCAGACCCTGAGATCAATTCTAATATCATGACTGCATTCGTCTCTTTATGCCCAACAATTGTATATATAGTTTTGGGGTAGGGATCTTAAACATTTCAAAGTTATGACCCAGGGGTTAAGTCTCCAAGTGTGGGGCAGTCCCTAAGGCCATCCTGGAAGCATATATGCAATCATCTTTTTATACTCAGCAATTGTATGTGCGGTTTTAGGGTGGGGCTCTCAGCTGTTTCCAAGCTGTGACTAAGAAACTAGGTCCCTAGGGGTTCGGTCAGACCCCAGGGTCTATTCTGATATCATGACTGCATTCGTCTCTTTATGCCCAGCATTTGTATATATAGTTTTGGGGTGGGGATCTCAACAATTTTAAAGTTATGGCCCAGGGACTATGTCTCCAAGGGCGGGGCCAGACCCTAGTGACATCCTGGAATCAAATGAGCAATCTTCTCTTTATACTCAGCAATTGTATACCATGGTTATATGGTGGGGATCTCAACTATTTCCAAGTAATACACTTTTTTGGCCCTACCCCTTAGCCCGGGGGGTCAGCCCCACCATTTGTACAATTTTGAATCCCTGCCTCCCATGAATGTTTCCACCCAAATATGATCACATGGCATAGTTCTACAGAAGAAGTCGCTTAAAGCAATATAGCCAAATAACCCTTTTTGGCTCCGCCCCTCAGCCCTCTGGGGGGTCAGCCCCTTCATTTGTACAATTTTGAATCCCCACCACCTAGGGATGCTTCCAGTCAAATTTAGTTAATTTCCAATCAGTGGTTAAGAAGAAGAAGTCGTTTAAAGAAATTGTTGACGTACGGACGACGGACGCAACGGTATGGCATAAGCTCACCTTGGTCCTTCGGACCAGGTGAGCTAATAATGAAACTTCCCTGAAATACAGAAACACTAGCGTCATCAGGGCACCTGCAGTATTAGCTGTTGGGTGATTAATAATTCAACCGACCACCTGGTCAAATCTGTTTGATTTGGCACATATACAGGTAACTTATCAATTAAGTAATGACAAATTGTTTCCGTTTTGTGAAAATTTCTCCTATACTAAGAGTCAGTATTCATATTTAGAAGATTCTACAACCTCGGACTATCACACCTTATATGGTGTCTCAGTTTTAGAGAGTAAACAAAGGATTCGATAATTCATAATTCTTATTATTATAAAATGAGCTGTCCCCAGAAACCACAATCCAATGCAATAAAAAATGTAATGAAAAAGAAATGTCACTTGTACAAATGAGGTCACACCATCACCTACAATATTGTATGAGGGAGATGACATTCAGACTCATTAATGTTAATCATAATAGTAAAATATATTCAATGTAAATAAATGCCCCTTGATATTTTCCAGGACAAATCAATGATTAGAATAAAACGCATAAGAATTATAGAAATCAGTTGAACTTTGTGTTCACAATTTCTGAACCTGATAAACGAAATTTAACTGGCCGTGGGATCGTTCCATTTTATATATGTACTGTCATGTGTAGGTAAATTATAATCTAGCTAGTGGGTATGACTGATGTAGTATTCACTGTGTTCTGGGGCAGACAGTAAATACCAGAAAAGCCATAGCATAGTACCAGCAGGCTCATATACCACAATGTAAACTGTAGGAACCTAACAAAGCAAAATATCACCAATAATCCATGAGGCTCAACCTGTCAGTCCCCTCCTGTAGCACTGGTGAATGACTAATAATGTGACTCACCTTAATCTGCTCTAATTCAAGAGATAATTTCTTCACTAAAATTGGAATTAACTTGGCTGTCACTATGCCTTCTGCTCCTGTGGATTGACAAAAAAACATTCAACTCCTAACTGATACAAACAGTTTCTTGGGTATATTCAAAACTTTAAATTTCAGAATGAAAATGTGTTTCTCTTGTCCATCTTTTTGTTTTTCATTTCCTGCTCTCAGGATATAATTATTGTCATTTAGGTGCTTCAGTTTCAGTTGTCTATTTATTTATTTTTTAAAAGAATATCTTAGATGAAAGAATATATATATAGCGATAAATAATAAACTTAATTGTACTATCAAGATGGGCGAAAGCGCTAGCCGATTATACTAGTCTTCTTGTTTTGTTTTATTTATACGTGTATATATATATATAGGTTTAGGTTTGGGTAACAGGCTACATGGTTAAAATAGCAATATTATCAACCCAAAGCATGCGTCATTGACCGAGGCAATGGTAATACATGTCGCAAACATATTCATCTTGATTGTAAATAACTATATGATGTCATAAAGATAACAATGAACTTAATTGTAAATAACTGTGATGTCATAAAGATAACTATAAACTTGATTGTACATATCTGTGATATTATAAAGATAACATTGAACTTAATTGTAAACATCTGTGATGTCATAAAGATAACATTGAACTTAATTGTAAATATCTGTGATATTATAAAGATAACATTGAACTTAATTGTAAACATCTGTGATATCATAAAGATAACAATGAACTTAATTGTACATATCTGTGATATCATAAAGATAACAGTGAACTTAATTGTACATAACTGTGATATTATAAAGATAACATTGAACTTAATTGTAAACATATGTGATATCATAAAGATAACAATTAACTTAATTGTACATATATGTGATATTATAAAGATAACATTGAACTTAATTGTAACATCTGTGATGTCATAAAGATAACATTGAACTTAATTGTACATATCTGTGATATTATAAAGATAACATTGAACTTGATTGTACATATCTGTGATACTATAAAGATAACATTGAACTTAATTGTACATATCTGTGATATTATAAAGATAACATTGAACTTAATTGTAACATCTGTGATATCATAAAGATAACAGTGAACTTAATTGTACATATCTATGATATCATAAAGATAACAATGAACTTAATTGTACATAACTGTGATATCATAAAGATAACATTGAACTTAATTGTACATATATGTGATATTATAAAGATAACATTGAACTTGATTGTACATATTTGTGATATTATAAAGATAACATTGAACTTAATTGTACATATCTGTGATATTATAAAGATAAAATTGAACTTAATTGTACATAACTGTGATATCATAAAGATAACAGTGAACTTAATTGTACATAACTGTGATGTCATAAAGATAACAATGAACTTAATTGTACACATCTGTGATGTCATAAAGATAACAATGAACTTAAATGTATATAACTGTGATGTCATAAAGATAACAATAAACTTAATTGTACATAACTGTGATATCATAAAGATAACAATGAACTTAATTGTACATAACTGTGATGTCATGAAGATAACAATGAACTTAATTGTACATATCTGTGTGTGATATTAGATAATAATGATGCGGAAAGATAAAACTTAACTTGATTTCCATAATTTTGAAGCCATAAATACATTACTTAATTCTACTTTGTGTAATTATGGTGTCAATAAGATACCAAAATCAATTGGGTATTGTGATGTCATTATTTAAGCAATTAAATTGGTTGTACATACACTGTAACTGAATTGAAATTACACTGAATATGATAATGTAATGGGATGTCATATAACTGGACTTCATTGTAAATATTGTAATTGCAATGTTGTAAAAAAAACACTTTTCACTTGATTGTGGGTTATGATGCTATGAACATAACACAAATAATCCTTTGATTATAGTGATTGATACACAGGTTTGTGTGGTTTTTGTTTCTTTTTGTGTCTCTGTCAAATGTTAAACCTACCTGGAGGTGTTTCTGATATCATTTGAATTGCCAAGTGAGCATTTTTTCTTGAAGCATCTTCTTTATCGTCGAACAACTTTGATATAGGGATAATAATTTCATGTTCAAGAAAGGCATCTCGTCCAATGGCATGACCTGTTTGAGAAAGTTATAAAAATAACAGCATGTTCTTAGAAAAACAGAATAAATAAAATCTAAATTTATGCAAAAAGCAATATGCATAATGTAGATCTATATTCTGCTTAAATAATTGAATGTTAAAAAACCAGATGAAATACATTGATTATATTTCCTTTTTTATCACTATTTAACTTACCACCAATCACATATAGAGATTCTGTAGCTTTTTGCCTGACAGTGATATCCTCATCCGTAAGCAGCTTCTTCAAACTTTCTGCAATACCTTCAATGAATAACCAATAGTCAACTATTACTAAAGCACACTAATAGAACAACTCTGCTTCAATTCAGTTCATAATACATTTTGTGGAATATAGTCAAGACCCTTCAAATTGTGAAACTTACACTGAACTCAACATAATCAGAAAACAGTATGACTAGGGATCTACAGGTACAAATAAATATATATTGGACCTGTTCAGTAAAAAAAATGTTGTAATGCACACGACTGCCCTCACTCCTGTTTTGAAGGAAAGTTTAACCAAAGTCAGACAAGCAGAAAATATAGGTAACAGTGACCTACATTTGATGTAATTGTGAAGTTCTTCTCCAGATGTATTCTCTCTAGCCCAGCCTAATTGTATTTTACCAAGGTGGCATACCGCCCTCCAGGAAAGATCTTGTCCCGAGTTTTTCAGTGTTCACAGCAATTCTTGTGAAAGTATCTGTTGCTTCTGGAAGCCTTCAGTTAAGACTTCTTGACTTGTTATCCAAAGATTTGGAAAAGTTACCTACATTGTGATTATGTGCTTTAAATTGGGTTTAATTGAGGTTTTTCGTGAATTTGGGATAAAGTGTAAATCAGAGTGCTTAAACTTGATTTGGTATTGGCCCTATTAGGTCTCAAGAATTGTAACTGTTGCTTATAAGTCTACCTGTATTTAGGCACTGTTCTTAAACTTCTATTAACCAGTCAATATTATATAAATGGCCAGTAAATAAACTACTTGTTATACACATGCATGTCCCTCAGGAAGATACGTGTTCAGGTTAAAAGGTTAAAACTATACACAAGTGCAGTATGTATTACTTCTCTTAACTAGAAAATGTCTGTAAGACATAAATGCCACCGCTCATGGACGGGACGGGACAGGGCGCGACGCGACACAACGGACATGGGCAACACTATATGCCCCCCCCCCCATTTTATGGCAGGGGCATAAAAATATATGGCATTTAATTTAGAAACAAGTGACAGGAGAAGATTTACATAGTTCAATTGTTTTTATCCAATAAAATTTGTTGAAACAAAGAAACAAGTAACATTCATTTATTTTTATATCAATGATAACTTTTTTGTATTACTGTATTCTATCCTCACTGACTGCCAGCACAGGTTCTGAAGACGACGAAGCTGCGAAACTCAGTTACTTACACTGACCGACGAGCTTGTCAGATCACTGACCTTGTAGTCCTAGACTTCAGATTACAATAACCTTGTAGTCCTAGACTTCAGTAAAGCATTTGACTGTGTACCACGCAGTTGCCTGCTCACTAAGCTTCACCATTATGGCATCAGGGGCCATACTCTGAACTGGATTGAAGTCTTCCTGACAGGTCGTACACAGTGCGTAGTAGTTGATGGGGCAACATCTGAGCCGGCACCCATTATAAGCGGCGTCCCCCAGGGAAGTGTCCTTGGACCTATTCTTTTCCTCATCTTCATCAACGACATACCACTACAGGTGTCATCCAAATCAAGACTATTTGCAGACTACTGTGTGGTATACAGGGAAATCAACTCTGAATAGGACTGTCTAACCCTACAGGATGACCTGAACAAGCTAGCGGATTGGGAGAAATGCTGGGGTATGAGCTTCCATCCAGAGAAGAGCGGTATCCTTCATGTCCACCGCAAGAAGACCCTAATAACATATGAGTACTCTTTGAAGGGCCACACACTTGATACAGATTCAGTAACAAAGTACCTTGGAGTGCAAATATCTCAGAACCTCTCGTGGAACTACCATATTGATAAGACTGTGAAGAAAGGTAACAGCATGCTCGGTTTCCTTCAACACAATCTACGTATCAGGAATGAAGAGGTAAAGGGTACGGCCTATAAAACACTTGTGCGACCAAACCTGGAGTCACAGTCTGGAACCTGTACACCAAGGACCACTTGTATAAAACATCTCAACTCTTGAGATTTCCTCAAGTCTAAGATTTCCCATAGACAATACATTGCTTGAGATTTTCTGTAACTTTGAGATGTTTTATACAAGTGGGCCCTGACACACACGCTGGGAATGGTTCAGAGGAGAGCAGATATGTCACCAACAGATATCACCAACAGATATCACAACACCAGCAGTGTCTCCTCCACACTAGACCAACTGGGGTGGGAAACACTAGAATCTCGTGGGACCAAAGCCCAGCTGACAGAAATGTTCAAGATTGCTAATGACCTTGTGGACATACCAATCAGCCAGTACCTCACCCCAGCCCAGGGACATACAAGATCCTCCCACTCCAGGAAATTCTGCCAGCCATCTTCATCCATATTCAGTATGGAACAGCCTACCTGCTGGCGTATACGTAGCAGACACCCCTGACTTGGTATCCTTCAAGCAGGGGCTATCAACACTCTAGTTTGTAGGGGTCCAGTTTCTAGTGATTCCCATTGAGTAATGGTTTGAAGAGGCAAAAACGTAGCTGGACACACTTTATTTCTACTTTATTCTACTTTCTACCTTTTAACTATCAAACCTTTTCCTACTGTCTATCCTTTCAATATATCTTCTTTACCTTGCACCACCGGTCGCGTAATAGTCAAGTGTGACTGCGTTGACGTACAATGTAGATGCAGGATGTACTGTTGTATTTCTACACAACTCTTGAATTTCATTTTAGAGCTCCTACTCAGTACTTACCTTATTCATGAGTCTGTTGACTGAAGTAAAGTTGTGCATATAAAATGTTGTGATGGTTAAAGGAGTCTCAGTGAATAACTCGAACAATAATTAATTAATCTCTCAAAATTAACTTTCTTGTCAATACTTTATCTATCTTGTATACTGTTCACAATCCTCTTGGAATTATTCCGAACAGTAATAGCCAAGGAATTAGAGGGGAAAGTACTGCCTTACTGGCATTCTAGCTTTTCCAGTCCTGCAGTTAACTCTGTGGCATGATTTACCGTTACAGTATAACAATAATTAGTACTATGATGTATTAAGTTGAATCTTACCACATCGAAGTGCTTCAGCAATGTGCTCAGGGTCGTGTAAATACTCGCATAATGACATAACAGCCCTCTGTCTTGTGAGTAAGTTGGTGTCATTTAGTTCACGGTTCTACACAAAAAAATGACGCAAAATCAACATAAATAGTGTTTTTTTTTAAAGTCGATAAAACGTCAGAATAATTCGGATTAATTGTACAGATACAAACTGACCAATTTAATTGAAACTTATTTATATTATGACTCCATTATGTTAAATACGAGCACAATCTTGGCAAATGAAACACAACTTTTTTTTAATGAGATATGTTATGTCTATTTTACGAACATTCAAAGGCTGACGGTGACGAGATTCTTGATTGTCAGACTGACGAACAAATGTAAACAACTTTCACTTTGCCAACTTACGAGTCTCGGTAAAGCCCTATCGCCAAATGCATATGGAGTCCGTGTTGGATCTATTTGTGGAGGATATAAAGGAGATATGACGGTGTGTGCCATGTTCACAGTTTGTTCGTATTCACACCTACAACACCGTGTTTATGTTGTGTTTACCACGTCTATGAGTTAATACCCATATGCTCACTTCCGAGTCCAGTTTCCACGACGACCCGCATGCGCACTGAGAACATTTTTTCGCAAATATCGTTATTTTCGTAAACGATAATTAACTTATCTATTGTATTTTACTCAACACACATTTAAGTATTTGCTAAATGCATCACTTATGTTATCTATCATATATACAAACTATTCCATTTAGTGCAACTATTGAAATAAATTAAATTATCCATGGTTTCGTACTTTAAATGGCCATAAGCGGGAGATATGATTTATTTCAGAGGCGATTTAGAGTGAAAAATGGATCCTCGACACCATAATCAACAGTTTTAACCATAAAAGGTGATACAAATAAGTTCAAAGGTATATCACAAATTTATATATTGCAATTAAGTTCCCGTTTGCAAACCTTAACAGAGCTGCAGTGCATTGGATTCGCTATCGAAGTCCGACAGTATTGATAATTTCATTTAGACAATCTTATCCATATACGTTATTGCAGATTTCTTGTTAAGATCCCATGTGAAAGCGCCACACTTTGACTAAACTATTTAATGACTGCGGGCGGTCACCTAGTGAGCGGGTCCACGGGTTATGCCGCATCACTGGAATTATCAAATCAAAAGCGAACAAGCACCAGGTGAGCAAAAATCTTATTCAACAAAGAAATTGTTCAGCTTTGTGAAAAACAGTCGACAACACCCCAAAGGTATGGGACCCCTTAAACGAGATGGTCTGCTGTACACTGACAATATAGATAAAGCAAATATCCTAAATGAACAATTTCAGTGGGTCTTTACACCCAAATCGCCTCTGAGCCTTAAACAACTTTGTCAACAACAAACCATTGACCAAGGAATTCCCACCCAAGACCAAAAAAGTAAGTACCTACCAATGTCAAACATTACTTTCTCAGTTCCGGGTATTGACAAACTTCTTTATAAACTTAATCCCAATTAAGCGGCCGGTCCTGACGCCATCAAACCAATAGTTCTTAAAGAACTACATAGTGAACTGGCACCCATTTTACATGTATTATTTCGATCATCATACCAAACCGGTGAGCTCCCATCCCATTGGACCTCAGCATACGTCGCTCCTTTATTCAAGAAAGGTGAGAAAAATAGAGCTTCGAACTATCGCCCCATTTCACTTACCTGTATTTTGTGCAAGGTCATGGAGCATATTGTAACATCAAACCTGGTAAGACATCTTGACACAAATAATATTATGTTTGAACTCCAGCACGGTTTTAAAGAAAAACGTAGTTGTGAAACCCAACTAGTCATGCTTATGGAGGATCTTTTCAAAAACCTACAAACAGGTAAGCAAACAGATTTAATTTTACTCGATTTTAGTAAAGCTTTTGATAAGGTAAACCACGAAAAACTGTTATTTAAACTTCATCAATACGGGATACAGCACCTAACTCTCAAATGGATCAGAGGCTTTCTTACAGGCAGAATACAGCAAGTTGTCTTGGAGGGAGCTACTTCATCAAAAGTCCCGGTAACATCAGGTGTACCCCAGGGCTCGGTCCTCGGCCCAATTTTATTTTTAATTTATATTAATGACTTGCCACTAAATATAACATCAACAGTGCGTCTCTTCGCAGACGACACTGCCATCTACCTAGCGGTAAGTAAACTACAAGATGCATACAGACTCCAAAAAGACCTTGACAGATTACAGTTATGGGAAAAACAGTGGGATATGGAATTTAACCCGAGCAAGTGCCAGGTAATACACATATCCAGGTCAAAGACGCAAATCCCCACAGAGTATATGCTACACGGACAAGTACTCGAAACTATTCCACATGCAAAATACCTTGGTGTCACCATATCATCAAACCTGACCTGGAATAAACACATCCAAAATGTAAGTAGCCAAGCCAACAGAACTTTAGGATATATAAAAAGAAACATCAAGGTGAAAGACAAAAAGGTAAAGGCTGCAGCGTACACGGCACTGGTTCGCCCTAAATTAGAATATTCTGCCTGTGTCTGGGACCCATACACCCAAGATCAAAGTAAACAACTAGAAATGGTCCAGCGCAGAGCAGCTAGGTGGGTGTCTGGCAAATTTTCCCCTCTGGACAGTGTAACAGACATGTTAGGGAGTCTGGGTTGGCAAACATTAGCACACAGAAGATCCAAAAGCAGACTGTGTTTATTTTATAAAATAGTCTACCAGACAGTAGCAATCCAAATGCCACCATATGTAGTCCACCCAACGAGACTATCAAGAAATGCCCACCCCCTATCTTTTCGGCAAATCCCTACCAATAAGGACTTTTACAAATACTCTTTCTTCCCCCTAACCATAGTCCAATGGAACGCCCTCCCGTTAGGAGCTTGCAGCAGTCCATCACTTGACACCTTCAAGAAGGCAATCAGTGATACTCCCTTTGTTAGGCCATAGACTATGTCAGCATATTTTTAACTTCACCCTCCCCCGTCCCCCTCACCCCCGTCCCCTGTCATCATAGTTCACCTACCCGAATACACTTATTTCTGGCTCTGTATGGGAAAGAGTTCCTAAAGGTGGCCAGAGTTGATATGACCAACACCGAATCAGAACTCTTTCCAAATACAGCTCAGTTGGAGTGTATGTTACTGTATATTAGGTAAACAGTCTTCAAACTATTATTATCACCCCCCCTCCCTCACACCCCGACTCAAAGTCCATAATAGATCCGCTATTTTGTACAACAGGAGCTATCAACATCCGTAGAGGTTCCATGAAATATGCCCTTGTATGGGCAGTAGCAGGTCTAAACTTATAGACATTTCTTAGCACCAAATACTCTCTCATCACATTTTTCTTTCTTTCCTCTCCCTCTCCCTTATGCATGCACCAGTCCGCACTTTATCATTTCTATCTCGGTCACCACACAATACCTTTTAACATGCACAGACGCGCACGCTGCACATAATACTCGAAAGAGGGTGATGCAGAATATATAGATAGATAGATAGATAAAGTTACGTCGGTACTGTACAGTATGGTTAAAAAACAATACAACATTAGCTCTAATGAGCTATTTAAACCGACACATAAAATGACATGCACAGTTACACAATAAATATTTGGCAAAACATATTAAAAGATGAGCACTATCTAATAGAGAGGTGACATAAGTAGAGGTAAGCTTTAGCTAAAAACATGTATAAAACTGTATTGTGAGCCTATGTGTTTTGTCTGCATGTGTTGAATTTGCATTTTGGCCCATACCAGCTGTTTATTAGTGTCTTAAATTGTGTTAGTGTAGTTGTTGTTCTGAAGTGGTCTGGTAGGGCATTCCATATTTTAGGTGCTTCAAATCGAAATGAGTGTTTACCATACGTTGTAGTCCTAACATGTGGTATATCTGCTGTGTTGTGATATCTGAATGTGTATGATTTTTCTGTGATGTTGATAAGGTCGTGTAGGTATGTTGGTGTCTGTTTATTTGTGATTTTGAATACTTCTATTGCAAAATTTCTGAGTCATCTGATTTTGAGTGATGGTAATTTTGAATGGGCTAGTAAATTTTCATATGTATTTTCGTGTTCATTGTAATTAAATTTTATAGCCCTTCTTTGGATTTTTTCCATTTTTTGTGTGTTTGTCTCACCGCAAAAGTGCCATGTAAGTGGACAGAAATTAAAATTTGAGAGAATAAATGATTCATATATTGTAAGTTTGCCTAATCTGTTAAGGTGTTTTCCTGTGCGTTTGAGTGAGTATAATTGAGCTGTCTAGATGCTTTTTTGCAGATGTTGGATATGTGTGTATGGAAGTTTAACTGGAAGTCTATGGTGACCCCTAGTAATTTTACTTCTGGTTCACATTTTATTGTGTTGCCTATGTTGAAAGTAATGTTTTCATTTTGTGCTTTGTTTCCTATGGCTTGAAATTTGTCTTGGTTTGCTTGCATATGATTGTTTGCGAACCAGTGAATGAGTGAATTGCAGTCTGTTTGTAGTGAAGTTTTGACTGTGTCTAGTGAAGTGTGTGCTTTACTAATTGTATTGTCATCAGCGTAGTTGTAAAGTTTACAATGTTGTATGATGTGGAAAATGTCGTTTATGAAAATATTGAACAGAATTGGGCCTAAAATTGATCCCGAGGGACTCCTTTGTATAGTTCCTGAAAAGTACTTTCATAATTTCCTAATTTGACATTTTCTGTTTTTGAGGTAATTTGACAATAGTTCTGAAGCCGAAATAGAAAGTCCATAATTTTGTAGTTTTAGCAGAAGGAGGTTGTGAGGCAGACAGTCAAAAGCCTTTGAGAGATCCATAAGTATGCAGCCTACATACTTGTTCTGGTCAAGTGCCATCATATTCCTTAGCTGTTACAACTTTAGACACAGACATTCTTTCGGTCCTCTGAAATCATATCTTGGTACATGTGCATTACACATGTACATGGTGTCAATGTCGTCTTGAGTCTGCCTTACTAGGTTTTGTATGTTTCTTGTTGCATTCTGTACCTTGCTAAGTATTGTTAACTGTGAAGGTGACTGACTGCACAGGTACGCTGCACAGAGTACTCGAAAGAGGGTGTTGCAGTATTTACGGATAGATACTTAAGATAGAACCACCTCGTTCCTGGTGGCTGTCTCAGTTCCCTTTCTTGAAGGCGATGCAGGCAACTACCTCCACTGTGAGACAGGGCCTTGTTTCCAAAATGACCGACTGACCTTCAGCAATTACAGGCTTACCTGGATATGCCCCATGATTGGCAACTTGCTGATCAGATTTCTAAACTCACTCTAGACAGCTAAACAGGTTCAGTTTGGATGACAAGGGCTTCTCAAAATCGATGTCATATAAATCAACCCACTGAAGGACTGCCATGTTTTGTTCATAAAGTTTTACAATACAGGAAATTTGTCTAATATCTTCTTATTGAGAGTGTTACACAGAATGATTATGAGCACACAGAACACATAGGCTGCCATATCGTCGTAAAGTGGAGATGTAAATGCTCTCGCAAAGTGTGCCAAAATGTGCATGCACATCGTCTGTCTCAAACACGATTTATTTTAGTTTTTGGAGAATCAAGCTAAATCTTTTTATCAATTTCCTTACCTTCGTTATTAGGCTTTTTGAGGACCATCTGGCTGTCCGACTCAACATAATAGTTGGTAGGTTCTCCAGTAACGTTTTGTTGCACAAAGCCATTTTGAATAATGTTGATCTCATTGAGATCGGGTCCAAATCTTATGCGTTGGCAGGCATTTGATTTAAAGGGCTTGTTCTAGTACAGAAGCTGTGAATATGCCTAATGATATAATTATATCTTATTGAGGTTTGTGAATTGAAATTTTCTTTAGGCTTAGTGGTAAGAGTGGACATGTCAGTAACTGACCTAAAATTGATGGTAATAAATTTCTACATTAATCCTGATTTATTTTCTTTCCAGTACATACAGAGATCATTAATATTTCATGGGAAGAAAGCACAAAAGATTAAAGTCATCAAACCCCGAACTTGAAGCTGAGAAACAGCGTGAGGAAATACGGAACCACATTTTGAAAGGTGTTTTTTCAGTTCTAAATTCTGTGACATTTTATTTTAATGATCCAAAATTTGTTTTATATCGCTAATTGAGTGTAATAGCTTGTTTATTTCTTTGGTATAAATATAATAGCTTGTTTGTTTCATTGGCATAAAGATAATAGCTTGTTCGTTTCATTGGCATAAAGATAATAGCTTGTTTGTTTCATTGGTAAAGCAATAATTGGAACATGACACACAATTTCATAATACAGTATAAGAAATTATTCATCATATACACAAATATTGCACTTACCAGAATGCCAATTGTTGTATGAATTTTGCCACAATATGTTTAAAACAATAACGATTAGAGGATTAAACTGTAAAGTATATTCAAAATCATATCTTTCAATACTTCCAGTTTTTCGAGCGAGGATTTCTAACCCTTGTGATGGAGGGGCCTTATTGGTAGGCAAAGACACCAAAGTGTCCCCATCTCATTCTGAACACCTGTCAATCACCAGTCACACCCAAAATGATAGCTCCTCCTCCTCCAGCATGAGTGACAGTGATGACAGTCTTAGGAAGGCTAGTCAAGGACACACTAGAACCAGGAGGAAGAGGAGGTGCAAAAGAAGAACTAAAAGGTCAAAGGTCACATCAAAAGTAAGCTGTTAGTGCTGTTTATTCAACCTCTGGTGTAATTTAAACCACTAATTGACAAATTTGTATTTCCAATTGACCAGCTATCAATTTGATAAGAGCTAAATGGGTATATATTCATCATCAATTGTAGTACATGAATATGTACTAGACTACTAGTACGTTCATGTATTAAGCTAAATCTTACATCTGGTTTTGTTTAACATATTTAGACACAGGGAGAGAAGTCTGCTGTAACAAGGCATTTGAGGGCTGCTCATGATGTGAGAGATGTAAGATATTTACCTGTTTGATTGTTCTAAACATTATCTAAAAAATCAAAATTGAGTAATTATGCAATCCTAAAAACTGGTCAAAAGGTATATTTATCAAGTGATACATTTCAAAATTGAAGTATGCACAAGTATAATTAATAAATCATGTTTTATATTATACATTATATTGGTAAAATAAATAATACAAAATAAATGATTAAAGTAAAGCCAATTGATATAAAAAATGATGGAGCTATCATTTGTTCGCACTGTATGTACTGTATATTATTTTTACACAGGCCTTACACTTGAATGAATCTGTTAACAAGGAACAGGACAAAATTAGTCTTATAACTGTCAACAGATTAACAGTAAGTTTTGAAATCATAAGGAAAATATTCAGTCTGATTTTTAAGTCAAATTAGAAAAGATTGGATGGGTAATTTATTTTCAATTATCATTTCGAAATATATTGACTGGAAAGGGAAATCAATAGAAATTGATTGCAGGTGCAGAAAAAGTTTTTCTTGACTTAATATTTTCATTAACTCATTCACCCCAGAAGACACATTTGAACTCTTCCAATTCAAAGGTTGGTATAGTTCATTATGAAATTTCAGGGGTGAATGAGTTAACCATAACATCAAAGGTTGTAAATAAATGGTAACGTTTATGTTTTCAATTTCATGAAAGGACATCTTATAAGTCCTTTATTTAACCTTGGATCAGTTGAATAAAAAGATATTTGTGTTGTACTGCATGTTTAAAAAATGTTTAAATGACTCAAGATACTTTGTGAAACCCATTTTGTATTTTACAGAACAAGGTTGGATTATTTAACAAGGGAAGGAAGTCTGAAACAATATCCAGAGGTAAGGGTTTTCATGAACAGAGAGATTTTAAAAATTTGAATTTATAGTACAAAGTGATCTCATCATTTCAATTTCACGACTCTGGAAAAGCTGGTACAATCTGTTTCTGTTGTGGGTACACTTTTTGTCATTACCCTAGTGACTTCATTTCTGGGTTGATTTTGATTCAAGTTTAGCACAGGATCATTTCTGATCCTCTACACCAGACTCAAATATGCAATAGTAGATTTTTTTTAGGTCACCTGAGCTTTAGCTCAAGTGACCTATTGCTATCCGTTTTCGTCCGTCGTCGTCCGTCGTCCGTTAACATTTTACATTTTAAACTTAAAGTCAAGTTCTGCTGGGCCGATTGAACTGAAAGTTGGTAGGAATGATCGCCTCATGGTCCTGACAAAGTGTTGTTATTTTTCGGGTCGATCAGAAATCCAATATGGCCGCCACAGCCGCCATTTTGAAAAACTATTTCAAACTTAAAGTAAAGTTCTACTTGGCTGATTGAACTGAAACTTTGTAGGAATGATCGAATCATGGTCCTGACAAAGTGTTGTTATTTTTCGGGTCAATCAGAAATATGATGTGGCTGCCATAGCCGCTATTTTGTAAATACCTATTTCAAACTTAAAAACAAGTTCTAATAGGCCGATCTCACTTAAAATTGGTCTAGGAACGATCAGCTCATGGTCCTGACAAAGTTAAGTTAACATTATACTTAACTATTTTTTACTCGAATTGGTACATATTTTAACATCAAAAACAAATACTGCAGGACTCAGGTGACCGTTAAGGCCCATGGGCCTCTTGTTTATTAGGATCCCCGTATCACTGCCCAAAAAGTATTGGAAACTGTGTTACTGGCATGATTATAGGCTAGACTGGATTGAACCCTAGACTGCAGCTTACAGCTAGTTCCTTTAGATTGAACATAATATTTTATATTGTAAAATAACTGGTCCGGACCCTGCTGATGATAGAAATTTTGTCAACATATAAAAATTATTTACAAATGAATCAAAATAAATATCCTCCAGTTTCTAACTATTCAGCATGTTGTTGATCTTGTTGTTATAATCAGGTTACACGAACACCTAGCTCATTGTAAAAGACCCACAGAAAATTGTTACAGGAAACCATCAGGCTATAGACAATTGGGGTTCTGGGTCACCACCTGTGTAGCTTTTCACCTACACTCTATAAACTAAACATATTACCAATACAGGGCTGACAACCCAGTACTGACTGTGTCCCAGTATTTTCTGTGGTCCAGTACTGACTGTGTCCCAGTATTTTCTGTGGTCCATTACTGATGGTGTCCCAGAAAAGTCTGTGGTCCAGTACTGACTGTGTCCCAGTATTTTCTCTGGTCCAATACTGACTGTGTCCCAGGTGTCCCAGTATTTTCTGTGGTCCATTACTGACGGTCTTCCAGAATAGCCTGTGGTCCAGTACTGACTGTGTCCCAGTATTTTCTATAGTCCAGTACTGACTGTGTCACAGTATTTTTGTGGTCCAGTACTGACTGTGTCCCAGTATTTTCTGTGTTCCAGTATTTTCTGTGGTCCAGTACTGACTGTGTCCCAGTATTTTCTATGGTCCAGTACTGACTATGTCCCAGTAAATTTTGTGACCCAGTACTGACTGTATCCCAGTATTTTCTATGGTCCAGTACTGACTGTGTCCCAGTATTTTCTGTTTCCCAGTATTTTCTGTGTCCCAGTATTTTCTGTGGTCCAGTACTGACTGTCCCAGTATTTTCTGTAGTCCAGTACTGACTGTGTCACAGTATTTTCTGTGGTCCAATACTGACTGTGTCCCAGTATTTTCTATGGTCCAGTACTGACTGTGTCGCAGAATTTTCTGTGGTCCAGTACTGACTGTGTCGCAGAATTTTCTGTGGTCCAGTACTGATTGTGTCCCAGTATTTTCTGTGGTCCAGTACTGACTCTGTCCCAGTATATTCTGTGACCCAGTACTGACTGTATCCCAGTATTTTCTATGGTCCAGTACTGACTGTGTCCCAGTATTTTCTGTGGTTCAGGACTGACTGTGTCCCAGTATTTTCTGTGGTTCAGGACTGACTGTGTCCCAGTATTTTCTGTGGTTCAGGACTGACTGTGTCCCAGTATTTTCTGTGGTTCAGGACTGACTGTGTCCCAGTATTTTCTGTGGTCTAGTACTGACTCTGTCCCAGTATTTTCTGTGGACCAGTACTGACTGTGTCACAGTATTTTCAGTGGTCCAGTACTGACTGTGTCACAGTATTTTCTGTTGTCCAGTACTGACTGTGTCACAGTATTTTTGTGGTCCAGTACTGACTGTGTCCCAGTACTTTCTGTGGTCCAGTACTGACTGTGTCCCATTATTTTCTGTGGTCCAGTACTGACTGTGTTACAGTATTTTCTCTGGTCCAATACTGACTGTGTCCCAGTATTTTCTGTGGTTCAGGACTGACTGTGTCCCAGTATTTTCTGTGGTCCATTACTGACGGTCTCCCAGAATAGCCTGTGGCCAGTACTGACTGTGTCCCAGTATTTTCTCTGGTCCAATACTGACTGTGTCCGAGTATTTTCTGTGGTCCAGTACTGACTGTGTCACAGAATAGCCTGTGGTCCAGTACTGACTGTGTCAGAGTATTTTCTGTGGTCCAGTACTGACTGTGACCCAGTATTTTCTGTGGTCCAGTACTGACTATGACCCATAATATTCTGTGACCCATTACTGACTGTATCCCAGTATTTTCTATGATCCAGTCCTGACTGTGTCCCAGTATTTTCTGTGTTCCAGTATTTTCTGTGGTCCAGTACTGACTATGACCCAGTATATTCTGTGACCCATTACTGACTGGATCCCAGTATTTTCTATGATCCAGTACTGACTGTGTCCCAGTATTTTCTCTGGTCCAATACTGACTGTGTCCGAGTATTTTCTGTGGTCCAGTACTGACTGTGACCCAGTATTTTCTGTGTTCCAGTATTTTCTGTGGTCCAGTACTGACTGTGCCCCAGTATTTTCTGTGGTCCAGTACTGACTGTGACCCAGTATTTTCTGTGGTCCAGTACTGACTGTGTTACAGTATTTTCTCTGGTCCAATACTGACTGTGTCCCAGTATTTTCTGTGGCCCAGTACTGACTCTGTCCCAGTATATTCTGTGGCCCAGTACTGACTGTATCCCAGTATTTTCTATGGCCCAGTACTGACTGTGTCCCAGTATTTTCTATAGTCCAGTACTGACTGTGTCACAGTATTTTCTGTGGTCCAGTACTGACTGTGTCCCATTATTTTCTGTGGTCCAGTACTGACTGTGTCACAGAATAGCCTGTGGTCCAGTACTGACTGTGTCAGAGTATTTTCTGTGGTCCAGTACTGACTGTGACCCAGAATAGCCTGTGGTCCAGTAGTGTCCCAGAATAGCCTGTGGTCCAGTACTGATTGATACTGACTGTGTCCCAGAATAGCCTATGGTCCAGTACTGACTGTGTCCCAGTATTGTCTGTGGTTCAGTACTGACTGTGTCCCAGTATTTTCTGTGGTCCAGTACTGACTATGACCCAGTATATTCTGTGACCCATTACTGACTGTATCCCAGTATTTTCTATGATCCAGTACTGACTGTGTCCCAGTATTTTCTGTGTTCCAGTATTTTCTGTGGTCCAGTACTGACTGTGTCCCAGAATAGCCTGTGGTCCAGTACTGACTGTGTCCCAGTATTTTCTATAGTCCAGTACTGACTGTGTCACAGTATTTTCTGTGATCCAGTACTGACTGTGTCCCAGTATTTTCTGTGGTCCAGTACTGACTGTGTTACAGTATTTTTTGTGGTCCAGTACTGACTGTGTCCCAGTATTTTCTGTGGTCCAGACAGTCAGTACTGGACCACAGAAAATACTGGACCACAGAAAATACTCAGACACAGTCAGTACTGGACAACAGAAAATACTGGAACACAGAAAATACTGGGACAGTCAGTACTGGGTCACAAAATTTACTGGGACATAGTCAGTACTGGACCATAGGCTATTCTTGGACACAGTCAGTATTGGACCACCTGTGACACAGTCAGTAATGGATCACAGGCTTTTCTGGGCCACAGTCAGTACTGGACCATAGGCTATTCTTGGACACAGTCAGTATTGGACCACAGAAAATACTGACTGTGTCCCAGAAAATCCTGTGGTTCATTACTGACTGTGTCACAGTAATACTGACTGTGTCCCAGTATTTTATGTGGTCCAGTACTGACTGCGTCCCAGTATTTTCTGTCGTCCAGTACTGACTCTGTCCCAGTATTTTCTGTGACCCAGTACTGACTGTCCCAGTATTTTCTGTGTGTTACAGTATTTTTTGGGGTCCAGTACTGACTGTGTCTGAGTATTTTCTGTGGTCCAGGACTGACTGTGATCCAGTATTTTCTGTGGTCCAGTACTGACTGTGTCCCAGTATTTTCTGTGGTCCAGTACTGACTGTGTCACAGTATTTTCTGTGGTCCAGTACTGACTGTGTCCCAGTATTTTCTGTGGTCCAGTACTGACTGTGTCCCAGTATTTTCTGTAGTCCAGTACTGACTGTGTCCCAGTATTTTCTGTGGTCCAGTACTGACTGTGTCCCAGTATTTTCTGTGGTCCAGTACTGACTGTGTCCCAGTATTTTCTGTGGTCCAGTACTGACTGTGTCCCAGTATTTTCTGTGGTCCAGTACTGACTGTGTCCCAGTATTTTCTGTGGTCCAGTACTGACTGTGTCCCAGTATTTTCTGTGGTCCAGTACTGACTGTGTCCCAGTATTTTCTGTGGTCCAGTACTGACTGTGTCCCAGTATTTTCTGTGGTCCAGTACTGACTGTGTCCCAGTATTTTCTGTGGTCCAGTACTGACTGTGTCCCAGTATTTTCTGTGGTCCAGTACTGACTGTGTCCCAGTATTTTCTGTGGTCCAGTACTGACTGTGTCCCAGTATTTTCTGTGGTCCAGTACTGACTGTGTCCCAGTATTTTCTGTGGTCCAGTACTGACTGTGTCCCAGTATTTTCTGTGGTCCAGTACTGACTGTGTCCCAGTATTTTCTGTGGTCCAGTACTGACTGTGTCCCAGTATTTTCTGTGGTCCAGTACTGACTGTGTCCCAGTATTTTCTGTGGTCCAGTACTGACTGTGTCCCAGTATTTTCTGTGGTCCAGTACTGACTGTGTCCCAGTATTTTCTGTGGTCCAGTACTGACTGTGTCACAGTATTTTCTGTGGTCCAGTACTGACTGTGTCCCAGTATTTTCTGTGGTCCAGTACTGACTGTGTCCCAGAATAGCCTGTGGTCCAGTACTGACTGTGTCACAGTATTTTCTGTGGTCCAGTACTGACTGTGTCCAAGTATTTTCTGTGGTCCAGTACTGACTGTGTCCCAGAATAGCCTGTGGTCCAGTACCGACTGTGTCACAGTATTTTCTGTGGTCCAGTACTGACTGTGTCTCAGAATAGCCTGTGGTACAGTACTGACTGTGTCCAAGTATTTTTTTGTGGTCCAATACTGACAGTGTGCCAGGATAGTCTCTGTCCCAGAATAGCCTGTGGTCCAGTACTGACTGTGTCACAGTATTTTCTGTGGTCTAGTACTGACTCTGTCCCAGTATTTTCTCTGGTCCAGTACTGACTGTGTCCCAGAATAGCCTATGGTCCAGTACTGACTGTGTCACAGTATTTTCTGTGGTCCAATACTGTGTCCCAGAATAGCCTGTGGTCCAGTACTGACTGTGTCACAGTATTTTCTGTGGTCCAGTACTGACTGTGTCACGGTATTTTCTGTGGTCCAGTACTGACTGTGTCCCAGAATAGTCTGTGTCCCAGAATAGCCTGTGGTCCAGTACTGACTGTGTCACAGTATTTTCTGTGGTCCAGTACTGACTATGTCACAGTATTTTCTGTGGTCCAGTACTGACTGTGTCCCAGTATTATCTGTGGTCCAGTACTGACTGTGTCCCAGAAAAGCCTGTGGTCCAGTACTGACTGTGTCTCAGTATTTTCTGTGTTCCAGTATTTTCTGTGGTCCATTACTGACTGTATCCCAGTATTTTCTGTGGTCCAGTACTGACTGTGTCCAAGTATTTTCTGTGGTCCAGTACTGACTGTGTCCAAGTATTTTCTGTGGTCCAGTACTGACTGTGTCCAAGACTAGCCTGTGGTCCAGTACTGACTGTGTCTCAGTATTTTCCCTGGTCCAGTACTGACTATGTCACAGTATTTTCTGTGGTCCAGTACTGACTGTGACCCAGTATTTTCTGTGGTCCATTACTGACGGTCTCCCAGAATAGCCTGTGGCCAGTGCTGACTGTGTCCCAGTATTTTCTGTGGTCTAGTACTGACTCTGTCCCAGTATTTTCTGTTGTCCAGGACTGAATGTGACCCAGTATTTTCTGTGGTCCAGTACTGACTCTGTCCCAGTATTTTCTGTTGTCCAGGACTGACTGTGACCCAGTATTTTCTGTGGTCCAGTACTGACTCTATCCCAGTATTTTCTGTGGTCCAGGACTGACTGTGTGCCAGTATTTTCTGTCGTCTAGTACTGACTGTGTCACAGTATTTTCTGTGGTCCAGTCCTGACTGTGTCCCAGAATTGCCTGTGGTCCAGTACTGACTGTGTCCCAGGATTTTCTGTAGTCCAGTACTGACTGTGTCACAGCATTTTCTGTGGTCCAGTACTGACTGTGTCCAAGAATAGCCTGTGGTCCAGTACTGGCTGTGTCCCAGTATTTTCTGTGGTCCAGTACTGACTCTATCCCAGTATTTTCTGTGGTCCAGGACTGACCGTGTGACAGTATTTTTTGTCGTCCAGTACTGACTGTGTCACAGTATTTTCTGTAGTCCAGTACTGACTGAACCACAGTATTTTCTGTGGTCCAGTACTGACTGCGTCACAGTATTTTCTGTGGTCCTGTACTGACTGTGTCCCCGAATAGTCTGTTTCCCAGAATAGACTGTGACCCAGTACTGACTGTGTCCCAGTATTTTCTGTGTCCCGGTATTTTCTGTGACCCAGTACTTACTCCCAGAATAGCCTGTGGTCCAGTACTGACTGTGTCCCAGTATGTTCTGTGTTCCAGTATTTTCTGTGGTCCATTACTGACTGTAGCCCAGTATTTTCTATGGTCCAGTACTGACTCTGCCCCAGTATTTTCTGTGTTCCAGTATTTTCTGTGGTCCAGTACTGACTCTGTCCCAGTATTTTCTGTCGTCCAGTACTGACTGTGTCCCAGTATTTTCTGGGTTCCAGTATTTTCTGTGGTCCAGTACTGACTTTGGCCCATAATAGCCTGTGGTCCAGAACTGACCGTGTCCCAGTATTTTCTGTGGTCTAGTATTGACTCTGTCCCAGTAGTTTCTGTGGTCCAGTACTGACTGTGTCCCAGTATGTTCTGTGTTCCAGTATTTTCTGTGGTCCAGTACTGACTTTGTCCCATAATAGCCTGTGGTCCAGAACTGACCGTGTCCCAGTATTTTCTGTGGTCTAGTATTGACTCTGTCCCAGTAGTTTCTGTGGTCCAGTACTGACTGTGTCCCAGAATAGCCTATGGTCCAGTACTGACTGTGTCACAGTATTTTCTGTGGTCCTGTACTGACTGTGTCCCAGAATAGTCTGTTTCCCAGAATAGCCTGTGACCCAGTACTGACTGTGTCCCAGTATTTTCTGTGGTCCAGTATTGACTCTGTCCCAGAATAGCCTGTGGTCAAGTACTGAATGTGTCTCAGAATAGCCTTTGGTACAGTACTGACTGTGTCCAAGTATTTTCTGTGGTCCAGTACTGACTGTGTCCCAGAATAGTCTCTGTCCCAGAATAGCCTGTGGTCCAGTACTGACTGTGTCACAGTATTTTCTGTGGTCCAGTACTGGCTGGGTCACGTTATTTTCTGTAGTCCAGTACTGACTGTGTCCCAGAATAGCCTGTGGTCCAGTACTGACTGTGTCACGATATTTTCTGTGGTCCAGTACTGACTGTGTCCCAGTATTTTCTGTAGTCCAGTACTGACTGAACCACAGTATTTTCTGTGGTCCAGTACTGACTGTGTCCCAGTATTTTCTGTGACCCAGTACTGACTGTCCCAGTATTTTCTATGGTCCAGTACTGACTGTGTCCCAGTATTTTCTTTGTCCCAGTATTTTCTGTGACCCGGTACTGACTGTGTCCCAGTATTTTCTGTGTCCCGGTATTTTCTGTGACCCAGTACTTACTGTGTCCCGGTATTTTCTGTGACCCAGTACTTACTGTGTCCCAGTATTTTCTGTGACCCAGTACTGACTGTGTCCCAGTACTCCTACAGACATCCAAACTATAACTCTTTCTAGTCTTTGCATACTTTTATTTATCTTTACAGCACATTTCCCAGGCAGGAAGTATTGAAATCCTATTCCTATTTGATCCAATGCCATGATAAGTTGTACTTTAAAACACATACTGGGCCATATATATGCTTATTTCAGTCTACTTCAAACCCCTCACAGACGTAACTTCTGTGAACAACAAATTGTAGTCAAGAATGGTTGTTTGCTCACCTGGCCTAAAGAGCCAAATGACTGTATGCTGTGGTGCGACGTCCATTGTCAATCTGTCTTAAAGACCCAGGGTGATGATATCTAGCCAATAGAATACTGGGACATATAAAGTTCTACAAAATTCGTTCAAACGAATGACCTGGACCCACTGTAAAGGTCACAAAGGGCAAATATGGTAAAATTTGTATCTACTTTTTTCTAAGTAACCAACAGGTTGTTTTGAATGACTTAGCCATAGGCAATAGTATTTTGCCTGAAGCTTTCTTTTAGTCCACTTTTAAAGGTAACAAAAAAATTAAGGGTGAAATAAATACCAGGTGAGCAATGCAAGCCCATTGGGCCTCTTCTTTTATTTGACCAATTTCATAATGAGAAAAGAGGGGTGAAGGGTATTACATAATAATCTAGCTGAGTAAAGCTTACATTTGTGGTTTGCTATTATGTAAGCATGCTGGATTCTTGTTATTTCAGACATCCAGGTTTCAGATTCTGTTAAAAAGAAAACAGAAGATGACCTTAAGAACATACTACACTACAGTGATGAAAATGGCCCACCTATAGCTCTGGACATTGAACCATCAAGGTATTGTAATGACCCATCCCTAGCTCTGGACATTGAACCACCAAGGTATTGAAATGACCTATCTATAGCTCTGGACATTGAACCACCATGGCATTGTAATGACCTATCTATAGCTCTGGACATTGAACCACCAAGATATTGTAATGACCTATCTATAGCTCTGGACACTGAACCACCATGGTATTGTAATGACCCATCTATAGCTCTGGACTTTGAACCACCAAGGTATTGTAATGACCCATCCATAGCTCTGGACATTGAATCGTCAAGGTATTGTAATGATGCATCTATAGCTCTGGACATTGAACCGCCAAGGTATTGCAATGACCCATCTATAGCTATAGCTCTGGACATTGAATCATCAAGGTATTGTAATGACCAATCTATAGCTCTGAACATTGAACCGTCAAGGTATGGCAATGACCCATCTATAGCTCTGAACATTGAACCACCAAGGTATTGTAATGACCCTTCTATAGCTCTGGACATTGAACCACCAAAGTATGGCAATGACCCTTCTCTAGCTCCAGACATTGAACCACCAAGGTATTGTAATGACTATAGCTCTGAACATTGAACCACCAAGGTATTGTAGTGACCCTTCTATAGCTCTGGACATTGAACCACCATGGCATTGTAATGATCTATCTATAGCTCCAGACATTGAACCACCAAGGAATTGTAATGACCTATCTATAGCTCTGGACATTGAACCACCATGGTATTGTAATGACACATCTATAGCTCTGGACATTGAACCATCAAGGTATTGTAATGACCTATCTATAGCTCTTGACATTGAACCACCAAGGTATTGTAATGACTATAGCTCTGAACATTGAACCACCAAGGTATTGTAGTGACCCTTCTATAGCTCTGGACATTGAACCACCAAGATATTGTAATGACCTATCTATAGCTCTGGACATTGAACCACCATGGTATTGTAATGACCCTTCTATAGCTCTGGACATTGAACCACCAAAGTATTGCAATGACCCTTCTCTAGCTCCAGACATTGAACCACCAAGGTATTGTAATGACCTATCTATAGCTCTGGACATTGAACCACCAAAGTATTGCAATGACCTTTCTCTAGCTCCAGACATTGAACCACCAAGGCATTGTAATGACCTATCTATAGCTCCAGACATTGAACCACCATGGTATTGTAATGACCCTTCTATAGCTCTGGACATTGAACCACCAAGGTATTGTTATGACCAATCTATAGCTCTGGACATTGAACCACCATGGTATTGTAATGACCCATCTATAGCTCTGGACATTGAACCACCAAGGTATTGTTATGACCAATCTATAGCTCTGGACTTTGAACCACCAAGGTATTGTTATGATCCTTCTATAGCTCTGGACATTGAACCGTCAAGGTATTGTAATGACCAATCTATAGCTCTGGACATTGAACCATCAAGGTATTGTAATGACCCATCTATAGCTCTGGACATTGAACCATCAAGGTATTGTAACGACCCTTCTTTAGTTCTGGACATTGAACCGTCAAGGTATTGTAATGACCAATCTATAGCTCTGGACATTGAACCATCAAGGTATTGTAATGACCTATCTATAGCTACAGACATTGAACCACCATGGTATTGTAATGACTTATCTATAGCTCTGGACATAGAACCACCAAGGTATTGTTATTATCCTTCTATAGCTCTGGACATAGAACCACCATGGCATTGTAATGACCTATCTATAGCTCCAGACATTGAACCACCATGGTATTGTAATGACTTATCTATAGCTCTGGACATAGAACCACCAAGGTATTGTAATGACCTATCTATAGCTCTGTATATTGAACCACCAAGGTATTGTAATAGCCTATCTTTAGCTCTGGACATTGAACCACCATGGTATTGTAATGACCCATCTATAGCTCCAGACATTGAACCACCAAGATATTGTAATGACCTATCTATAGCTCTGGACATTGAACCACCATGGTATTGTAATAGCCTATCTTTAGCTCTGGACATTGAACCACCACGATATTGTAATGACCCATCTTATAGCTCTGGACATTGAACCACCAAGATATTGTAATGACCCATCTATAGCTCTGGACATTGAACCCCCAAGATATTGTAATGACCCATCTATAGCTCTGGACATTGAACCACCAAAGTATTGTAATGACAAATCTATAGCTCTGGACATTGAACTGTCAAGTTATTGTAATGACCTATCTATAGCTCCAGACATTGAACCACCAAGCCACCATGGTATTGTAATGACCCATCTATAGCTCCAGACATTGAACCACCAAGGTATTGTAATGACCCATCTATAGCTCTGGACATTGAACCACCACCTATCTATAGCTCTGGACATTGAACCACCAAGGTATTGTAATGACCCATCTTTAGCTTTGGACTTTGAACCACCAAGGTATTGTAATAGCCTATCTTTAGCTCTGGACATTGAACCACCAAGATATTGTAATGACCCATCTATAGCTCTGGACATTGAACCACCAAGATATTGTAATGACCTATCTATAGCTCTGGACATTGAACCACCATGGTATTGTAATGACCTATCTATAGCTCCAGACATTGAACCACCATGGTATTGTAATTACCCATCTATAGCTCTGGACATTGAACCACCAAAGTATTGTAATGACAAATCTATAGCTCTGGACATTGAACTGTCAAGGTATTGTAATGACCTATCTATAGCTCCAGACATTGAACCACCAAGGTATTGTAATGACCTATCTATAGCTCTGGATATTCAACCACCAAGGTATTGTAATGACCCATATATAGCTCTGGACATTGAACCACCATGGTATTGTAATTACCCATCTATAGCTCTGGACATTGAACCACCAAAGTATTGTAATGACAAATCTATAGCTCTGGACATTGAACTGTCAAGGTATTGTAATGACCTATCTATAGATCCAGACATTGAACCACCAAGGTATTGTAATGACCTATCTATAGCTCCAAACATTGAACCACCAAGGTATTGTAATGACCCATCTATAGCTCTGGACATTGAAACACCAAGGTATTGTAATGACCCTTCTATAGCTCTGGACTTTGAACCACCAAGGTATTGTAATGACCAATCTATAGCTCCAAACATTGAACCACCTAGGTATTGTAATGACCCATCTATAGCTCTGGATATTTAACCACCAATGTATTGGAATGAACCATCTATGTTGAATTGATTATTGGCAAAAAAAATCTATTTTCATGGTTTGAAATATGTATACAAAGGGATGTTATTGCAAGTAAGTTTTTCGAGGTTATAAAGGATATGCAATGGGTAAGGTGAAAGTTACCTTAAGGAACTTGCAGTCTTTAATCGGATCATTGAATTTTGCTTGCCAAGTGGTGGCCCCTGGCAGGCCTTTTTCCCGCAGACTAATTGACGCAACAATTTCGGTTAAAAAAACTCATCACAAGATTAGGGTTACCCGAAAGATGCGTGAGGACCTTGGTTTGTGGTATGTATTCCTGTCAGATTATAATGGGGTTACCTTGATGCTTGATCGTTTCTGTATACCGATAGCGCTGGGGGTCTACAGGGGGGTTTCGGCGCATATTTCCAAGGGTCACTGGGCGCAGGGGTGTTGGCCCAGAGAATGGGACATTCATCAGGGTATTTTAACTGATATTACATTCCTGGAATTATTCCCAGTTATTGTTGTACTCAATTTATGGGGTCATTTTTCTCAGAAATAAGAAAATTTGATTTCATGTAGACAATCAGGCTGTTGTCGTTATTATAAAAAATCATCAAAATCTCCTCGTGTTATGGTTCTAGTAAGAAAATTAAGTTGGTCAAGTACAGTATGTTTTCTCCTTTCACCACATTCCAGGAATAGTTCTCAAATAAAGTTGGATAGACCATTACTTGATTATTATAATAATTAATTTTGTGTCAAAGTCTTATCAAATTGATTGAACTTCTAAAAAGTTTTTAGTTTATTTTATGTGTTTTCTAAAATTCAGATACATTATTTTAAGAAATGAAATAATTGTATTGATTTTTTTTTCAGTTCTGGTAAAAAAGACAATATTAATCCTAGGAGAGATGAAGCTGTTCTGTCAGGAGCTAGTAGTAAACAGACACAGCTGAGACACATTTCTGAGCAGACTTACATTAGGTCAAGTGTTCTTAGCTCGGGAGACCAAAGCAGAAACAGTGCTAAGGCAAGGATGTCCATCACTCCAGTCTCTGAACCGAATAACAAACAAGTCAACTCTGCAGGGTAAGAGCCAAATCTTTTTTTTTAAAGACACAGAAAATCAGAACAATTGCTTTATGTAAGTTTCTGACTTTCAAATAGTGGTTGAACAGTTATTTAGGTCACCTGAGCGATTGCTAACCAAGGCCTCCTTCCCAGGGGTCGGAAGGTAGGGGTAGGAAGAGTGCAAAACCTTCAAATGATATCTCCTCTGAAACATACTGGTACATTTTCACCAAAATTCCATAAAATAATCATTAGACGATGATTGGTTTGGTTTGGTTTAATTTTGTTTAACGTCCTATTAACAGCTAAGGTCATTTAAGGATGTGCTTCCATATGTATAGTGTATGCATGCTTGCATGTGTGTATGCAGGGGACAGGATATGTTTGTGCTTGCCTCCTTGTGATAGCGCTGATCTGATGCCGACTTTATAGTGATATCTTACTGAAATACCATGCCGAAGGCACCCAGCACAGCATTTGACCGGGTCACATTATACTGAAAACGGGTGAACCAGTTGTTGCCATTCCCCTAAATGCTAAACGTTAAGCAGGGAATAACAACTACCATTTTTTAGGATTTGGTATGTCCCTGTCTGGGGACCAAACCCATTGCCTTCCTCACCTGGGTGAACGCTCAGCATTAAGGCCAAAAGTGAGGTGTTGCCAAGCAAGGCGCTAGGAAATAAAAGGTACTTAGAAGTAGAAAGAAAGATAAAGATCCCAAATATTGCAATGGGTGCAGCAGATATATTTTGGTCGCTTTTGAAATAGAGGACACCAAAGTAAATCCCCGATTCTGCAGGGGATTCCTACATTATAAACCATAATAAATTTTGCCCCTCCCCCCCCCCCCCCCC